TTTTCTATACTACATTTGGTATGCACAATACACAATACACTATACTTGTTTTTTGATTTAGCTTTTGAGAAGTAGATTTTTGCTTGAGAGATAAATGACAAATTTAAAAATGAAAGTTTCAAACTGTCAACCAGCAAAAATTAACAAAAATGATTTGAAAAAATATCGATTGTTTTGCTCATAACTTTGGCAGAGCTTCATATGAAAAATGTGATCAAAACATGACATAATGCTCTTATATGTTCTTGAACTAACTCTTTTATTGAAAATATAATTCCTTTCTTTTTATTTCATCCTTTCTCTGATTCTACTTGTTCTATAATGAATTCTCTAATCGAAGATTAAATCTACTTGAGATATATTTATTTCCTTTTTCTTTCAAAATATGAGTTTATCTTTTTCAACCTTTCTTGCGTTTACATCAATTTGTAAACCCTAATACTATGTATTCACCCTGTAAAGTGTAAAACCCAATATAATATATTCACCCTTTAAACCCCAATACAATGTATTCACCCTGTAAACCCCAATATTATGTATTCACCCTGTAAACCCCAATATAATATATTCATCCTCTAAACCCCAATATAATATATTCACCCTGTAAACCCCAATATAATATAGTATTCACCCTGTAAACCCCAATATAATATATTCATCCTCTAAACCCCAATATAATATATTCACCCTGTAAACCCCAATATAATATACTCATCCTGTAAACCCCAATATAATATATTCACCCTGTAAACCCCAATATAATATATTCACCCTGTAAACCCCAATATAATATATTCACCCTGTAAACCCCAATATAATAATATAATATATTCACCCTGTAAACCCCAGCTCTGAAACTAGGATTAACCATGATATAACATGGGAAAGCTTTTATTAACAACAGAAACCAATATAGTTAACCTTTATACTAATCTCAGACATTTATTATTATTATTATTTTTTATTAAATCTTTCTTTCGTAACCATGATGCATATATGCTGTCAGCCCTTTTAAAGTTTGATATGGAACGTTTTACGACTTTAAAAGTGGAATTGAGACTTAATTGCAAATCTTTCTAATATAATCAAAAAAAATGTACCACTGTAAAAAGAAAAACGGCCTGATTGGGGGGTATTAACAGAATCATTTACTCAATTCTCAATCAATTAATCAATTTAAATTTTTAATCTTTTTACCTTTGCAACCTGGCGTCCTACAGACCTTGGAAATTTCAAACATAATTTACACAGGAGCTTGGAACTTTTGTTTTGGATACACATAATACCGATATCCACTGTGGACACTTTTAATTCAAGGATTAAGGCTTAACCTAACGGGTAAGATTACCATTCGGGATATCGATTAAAAAATACATTAATTTGCAGATAAAAAAAATCTAGATCAAGCAAAGATCTCGATTCATCCTATGCACGATTTGTCAGCTAAGATCATATGGTTAAAGTTTAAAATATCAAAGGTTTACAGCATCCGTTTGTGAAGATATGATGATTAGAAAATAAGATTTTTGGTGTGTAATTCCTGTTTACAAATGTTATTCAAGTTTCTAAAAAATTGCAAGATTTTCCTCGTAAAAGATTAGATTGCGTTCAATTTTATTTCAACTCGGCCGTTTTCCGAATTATCGTTCATTTTCTAACTGAACAACCTTTCAATCAAATCGCAATTGTTCAGTGAGATCGTTTGTTCAATAAAATCTTTCTTTATGTGAAAAAGCGATAGTTTTTTCCTCTTTAAAACTTCGTTAAAAACAGTTCATTCAGAAAAAGCATTTTTTATTTAAAACAATAATTTTTTCAAGCTCATTTATGGTTAGACTGATCCATAAACGATCTTCAATGATTTAAATCGGGTTTATTTTCGTTCGTTACAAATTGTTATATTTTTTATTTCTCTGAACGATCCAATTCGTTTGATCATCAGTCGTTAGTTTTCTGACCGGCACCAAGGTATTGTTTATTCATAAAGGATCAGACTTCATTTCTTTTGAAAGTTTTCTTTCATTCCTGCAAAATTGTTATTTCTTGTCAAATCTTCCATAATACCACTTATAAAGTCTAGATTTAGGAAAGAATTCAAAACACAACCATAAAATGGTTGTAACTAAAGAGTTGCAGGTTATCATTAAAGTCTTATCCTTTGTGGGTAACCCTGTACTGTAGATATATACGGACAATAAAGCAATGTTTATGAAATATATCTATAAATTATATGAATATATGCATCCAAATGAATCATTAGGGATCAATTTATCAAATACAGCTGTTGGGTTTAAGACAACTTATCCACGAGGGATTCTAATATAGGCAGAGGAAAAAGGGAAACGAAAAAATATTAAAAAGTAAAGCTCCGAGAATACAAATGTTCCATCTATGTCTGAGTATGTATATTGTAAAAAACCTTTTATCTATGTATGGGAATGAGTAACTCTGTATCTATGTTTAGGGAGTGAGTAGTAACCCTGTATCTATGTATAGAGAATGAGTAATTCTATATCTATGTAAAAGCAATGAGTAACCCTGTATCTATGTATTGGGAATGAGTAACCCTGTATCTATGTATAGGGAAGGAGTAACCCTGTATCTATGTATAGGGAATGAGTACCCCTGTTTCTTTGTAGAAGGAATTAGTAACCTTGTATCTATGTGAAGGGAATGAGTACCCCTGTATCTATGTATAGGGAACGAGTACCCCTGTATCTATGTATAGGGAACGAGTACCCCTGTATCTATGTATAGGGAATGAGTAACCCTGTATCTATGTATAGGGAATGAGTAACCCTGTATCTATGTATAGGGAATGAGTAACCCTGTATCTATGTATAGGGAAGGAGTAACCCTGTGTCTATGTATAAGTAACCCTGTATTAAGTAAATACCGAGTCTGAAGATGAAATTGTTATTTTTACAATAGAAGAAAAAGACAAAGGAATTGAGTCATTGCCACAAACTCTGATTTTTTTATCCCTTCATCTCTACATCTCTGATGGATCAAATAATTAAAGATTGAAATATCAAAGATTTACGCCATCTGGTTTTAGAGATGTAGGTATTAGAAAATTGTGATTTGTGGCAAAGACTCAATTTCTTTCAAAATTAAATTAAGTTTTTTTTTAGTTTTCAAGAATTAAAATGTAATCCTGATCGGGCGTTCAGAGGCTTGTTATCGTTTTGTTTTCCATATTCAGTTTAAAGAAAAAGATAATACAAAATTTATTTTGAAATATCAAAATCAATGCACTACTTTCGCTGTTAGAAATAAAATATCAATTTAAAGTTTTGTTGCAATAGGGTGTTTTTATTTCTATTTTAAAGGACCCTAAAAGGAACAATGAGAGTGAGTTGAAGGAGAGAGGGGGTGGGGAGTAATTACCAAAATTCCCCTTCCCCTCCACTTTTCCTAATTATCCACACATGAACGTCTTATTTAGAAACAGAGGGATACAAGGGGATACAGAGGTATACAGTGGGATACAGAGGGATACAGAGGAATACAGAGGGATACAGGGGATACTGAGTGATACAGGGGATACAGGGGGATACAGGGGATACAGGGGGGATACAGAGGAATACAGGAGATACAGAGGGATACAGGGGATACAGAGGTATACAGAGGGATACAGGGGAAACAGAGGGATACAGGGGATACAGAGGGATACAGAGGGATACAGGGGATACAAAGGGATACAGAGGAATACTGGATATACTGAGTGATACAGGGGATAAAGGGGGATATACAATGGGATACAGGGGGATACAGAGGGATACAGGGGTTACAGAGGGATGCAGAGAAATACAGGGATATAGAGGAATACTGGGGATACAGATTGATAAAGGGGATACAGAGGAATACAGGGGATACAAAGGGATACCGAGGATACAGGGGATACAGAGTGGTAGCTCACTCTAAACGTCAATACTCTATAAACCTAAGAGAAAAATAAACAAAGAAGACGACATGACGCAAAGGGGAAAACCTTGCTTTCTGCTGAAACAAACAAGAAAAAAATTAGGATTATATGGAATTTTACAACAAACAAAAATACACTTTAAGTTAGAACTGCGATCTCTATGTTGATTTAAAGGAACTGTATGCTAAATTTCATGTGACCCTTCATGCAAAGATGTCATTGCCCGATTTACAATGGTGCCCTTAAAAGCCTTCTCTAATCAAGTATAATTTTGAGTTTTATTTTCAATTGTGGAGGTTTCTTAACAAAAGTGACTGGGTATTTCTACTGCAGAAAAATATTGGAATTCTCAAAAAAAACATTTTCAAATCCGGAAAAACATTTCACATTATTGATCAGATAAAGGTTTCAAGGGTACAGACTACAAATATAAATCGGGCAGTGTCATTAATGCACGGAGGGTCACTTAGAATTACTTAAACACACTCTTTAATCAACCCTCACTGAAGAGAAAGGAAACAAAACTTTTTGATACGAAACCTCCTGTTCCTTGTTTGATCCGATATTTCAGTAAAACTGGTTTAATTAGACTGTCTTCTAGCTAATGAATAAAATAAAACTAATGAATGTTCAAGTAGACTCAGTAGAGCTATTTAATAGACTGATAGGAGTCATTGAAGAAATGAGTTGGCACGAACCTTAAATAAAGAGAAAATAAAGAATATTTATTTGAAATTTTGCAAACATATGTTCAAAAAATTTAGCTAAAAGTGTTTTTACAAATTTCAAGGAGATGGTCCATTTAAAAGAAAAAATAAAAGAAAATTTTGTTGTTAATTCTACTAACATATCTTTTTTATGACTGATTTATGATAAACACAAAGTGTAATTTTAATGATCTTTTTAATTAAGAGAATATTCATCAGTACTTTGGTGTAATTTTTTTAAAATTTGTCAAGGGTCCAAATCTAGTCAAATTTTATCCCCTCAAGACAAAATATTTTTCAAATACTTATATTCTCAGGATTAAATTTTCAAATTAAATGTTTATATTTCATAAAATTTCAGAGAAAGAATGGAAACTGGATGAAATGTGAAGAGCATATATTTGGAAACTATTATCCAGAAAAATATTTAATTCTCAGCCAAGATGTTTCATATTTGTCAGGTATTGTATTTCAAATTCTCAAAATGTTTTACTTTTTAAATTTGTTCTTATTAATAAAATATCATCTATTCCCAGGGGACCAGGAGTGTAACTCAAACAATTTAAAAACAGTAAAAGTTTAATCAACTCAATTTTTTTTAATGTGTCTTGACGTACATCTTTAATACACCCCCTAATAGTAATACTCTCCAAAATTTATTTTTTATACTATTTAATGTGAGTTTCTTAAGGTAGGGAATTATTTTTTAGTTTTAATTTTTTATTTATAATTTTAAAATTTTGTTAAAGATTTTTTTGTTTATCATCATTTGGAATGACGTGGGGTCAACCTATACAGAAATATATTTTCAATAAAATGTGGAACTAACACCTACTTTATCAACTCTATGAGGTTTGGTCCAGCATCGTCACCAAATCTTAAGTATTTGTACATCACTTTACTGTTATAGGACTTTACTGTGCACTACATCTATTTACTATTGAGCTGGTATTGTTTAAGGAAAAGTGCACTATATCTATTTAATATTGAGCTGGTATTGTTTAAGGGAACGTGCACTATATCTATTTAATATTGAGCTGGTATTGTTTAAGGGAACGTGCACTATATCTATTTACTATTGAGCTGGTATTGTTTAAGGGAACGTGCACTATATCTATTTACTATTGAGCTGGTATTGCTTAAGGGAACGTGTATGTGCGCCTCCTCAGGTGAAGGAGGGTTTACTAAAGGAAAAGTACTTTACTGCTATGGCGAGGTAACTGTAAGCTTGAATACAAAAATTAAGAGTAAAACATATTTCTGTGAATAAAACAAGAATAACTCCGTCATTCGTTATCAGCCTATAGTTTAACGGTTACCGTTGTGAATTGGCTATGCTAAATGGAGGGTCACATGAAAATCCGTTTGCAATCCCTTAATTCTGATCATGAGACGAAACTTTGCGTTGCGAAATAAATCTGTTTCCTGTAGGAAATCAAATTCAGACATTGAATCGTGAGAAAAATGTATATTAATTAAGTTCTGAACAATACTCGATAAATCATGAAATGCCATGAAATTAATATTTTAAGGTTTAAAGTTGGTCTTTTCTTCTAATCCATGCAGAAATATAATATTTTTGGTCTTGAATTGGAAAGCCATGTATTTGGATTTTTAATAAGTTTATGCAAATCTATAGTTAAAACAAAGTCAGGTTTAGGTTAACCCCTATGATCCCTCTCGAAATTTGCAAAAATGTTTTACTTTTTAAATTTGTTCTTATTAATAAAATATCATCTATTCCCAGGGGACCAGGAGTGTAACTCAAACAATTTAANGTACAGGGGGGGGGGTTGTTACAATAAAGTTGGAACTATTTTTAGATAGAGATAAAAAGTTGAGTAGAAACAAGTGAGAGAAGATGAACGGGGGGGGGCGAGGGGTAGATAAATTTTTAATTTATAAGATAAAAGAACTAACGAGTATGGATGTGGGTAGAAGATAAAGGGGCCCCAGGGGGTGAATAGGAGCTTAAGTGGAACAAATTATCAAAACTTCATTTATAATTTATATTGTCACGTTTTTTTTAAATGTCAGTCTGAAAAAGATAACTAAATGAATAAATAAAAGAATATATTATTTTGCTTGTGAAGAAAGAATAGGAAAAAAATTATATTTCCTAATAGGAAAATGGAAGAAAATTATGTCTATTGTGCAGAATTAGAATAATTCTTTTTTTTTATTGATGAAGAAACTAGTAAAATAATCCACATTTTATAATAAATAAATAGAAGAATGATCTTTATTTTTAATAGAAAAAGAGAAAATGCCAAACCTTGTGTTTAGGTTGTTTTACAGAGAGATCTAATGCGGGGACAAGAAGAGGCTCCATCAGCTGAGGAGCAATCTGAGATTTATCTTCTACAAATTAGTCAAATAGTTGCTCTTGTAGTTCTTATATTAGCAATGTAAGTCATACAGTTGGCCTTGTAGTTCTTATATTAGCAACGTAAGTTATACAGTTGGTCTTGTATTCCTTATACTAGCAACGTAAGTCAAATGGTTAATCTTGAGGTCCTTATAAACAAGCAATTTAAGTAAAGCAGTTACTCTTGCAGTCCTTAAACTAACATTGTAAGTCAAATATTTTCTCTTGCAGTCCTTACATTTGCAATGTAAGTCATACAGTTGGCATTGAAGTCCTTATATTAGCAATGTAAGTCATACAGTTGGTCTTGTAGTTCTTATAGGCAACTTCCCAGCTGTGCAATATCCCATGCGGCAACTTCCCAAGTCTGTCCTAGCCGCAGCGCTCGGCCACTATCCTGTTCTACCAAAAGCGCATGGTCCCCTGGCCCATCTTAGCCGAATCACTCGGCCCACATTGCAACCTGAGGCGCCTCAAACGGCCTAACCTAACCGCTTGGGAAATTACACATTTGGGAAATTGTCATTTGGGAAGTCGCTCTTGGAAAATTGCCTTGGGGAAAATACCTAACACCCCCCTGCAGACAAACTTAAGGGTTCTCTCCCTTTGATCCACCTGTAAAGGTGGGAAAAAACGTTTCTCCCCAACCTTACCTTTATGCAGACATAATTCCTGTATTAACTGTTGTTTATACCGTCCACAAATTAAAATACAAGTTTCCACTTCTTACCCTCTTTTTCCCCTCCTCTCAATTTCTGTATTAAAGTTTAAAGGTTCTCGAACTAATTAGCAGAGAGTTGCTTATTTTCCTAAAAGGGAATACATACAGGGTACTCCACAAAGAATGAGATTTTAATAAGAAAGACAACATTTTCTCCCTTCTCCCCCCCACGGCTCAAATTCTGTTTTATCTGTATGTCTATCTTTGGGTACTGTTTATAAAGGGTAACTGGTATGGGTTCATTTTTATATTAAGATATTATTTCCCCTATTTTAATAATACATGTCCTTTGGATCTGTTACTTTTAATATCAATCGTCCTAATCTGTAGATTAAGTAAAACTGAAACTCGTTATAGTTATTACATCTAAAAGTTATTTTAGTTACCTGTGTTAAATATGATATATAACAAGGCTTTTAGGCTGCTGGTCACCTAGGGATGGGTCGTTTCCAATTTTTTGAAAAAAATGATCTTTTAAATTTAAAACGACGAAGAAAAAACGAAAACCGGTCGTTTTAAAAAAAAATATTGTTTTTCATTTAAAAAAGGATCGTTTTCAAAAACGATCGTTTTTTTATCAAACCGGCGCGTGTAGGTAGTCAAAAATCATTAAATTCGGTCCCTGCATCTGTAATAGACGCAATTCTTTCTTTTTTAACTTGTTAAATATGCAATAAAAAGATATTTAAGTTAGGATTTAAGCCGTCATTATATTCAAAGAGTTTCTTATTCTTTGTGAATATCCCTGTAAGGAAGAAGAGTAGAGAAGCTAAGGAAAATATTGACTTGCTGAAGGAGGAATGATATTCTGATATCAGAGACTTTAAAGCTGCAGGGGGGGGGACTTTTAGAGAGTACAAGGGGTACGGGG